CGTCATTATAGACACGGGCAAGGCACACAAGTTTGGAAATATACAAACCGTAAGTAGATATAGGGATGGGACAAAAGGAACATCACTGTTTAAAAAGGGAAATTTAACTAAAGAGTACGAAAAATCGTCTCTTTTGTTAATTTGATATATTTATTAGTTTTTGTGTTTTTGTACTTTCTTTGCAATTAACGTCCAGTTTTACTGTAATAAAGTGCCATTGAATGCTTAATATATAACATGTATAACTCGTTTATTCATATCAGTTACAATATTATAAAGTAAAAAAAAAAATTAACAACAAAAAAACAGTTGGTATTTGATGTACTCAAAACAAACTGGTTTGTCGATAGTATACGAATATCATGCCATACACTCGCCTTACAAGCTTAAAATAAGCGTGCAGATGAGATTTTTATGGGATCCATAATTCCAATAAGAAGAGAAAAGGGACATATGCGACCTGAAACTATAATGCTTGAATTCATAAAAATCTAGGGATAAAGAAAGAATAAAAAAAATACTTGGCATAATGTAAGATTTTCTATAATACAAAATTATAACCAATGGAATATGTTATTTTTTGTTTGTAGCTAACATCCTTCGCTTTCCATATGTTTCTCTGTGTGCAGTTACTATCTTGCTCTTTGACGCATATTTTGAATTTTGTCAAACACATTTCAATTTTAGGCAACAGTAGTTTACCTACATGTATGTTCAAATCTCATAAACCGATTAGGAAGATAAACCAAGGTAACAAACAGCAACTTAAAGGATCGCATGAACAGCAAAAACAAGCTAGATCTAGTGCGTCGGCATTTTAAGTATGTATAATTATGTATGCATTCATCACCCGCAAGGCGATTCCATACCCAGTCAAAATGTTACAATTTGGAAAAGGACACAATCTGTAAAATACAGATTAGACAACTATTCTATTATCTACAGATCTAAAACTGTGAAAACTTGGTGCTAGAGAGTTGAGACACTGACATATCGTATCGGTTAATTAATACGTGATGGTGACCGTATAACTTATGTAGTGTAGAATTCAGTAATTCTTCCTCATAACTCTGTTGGAGCAGTTTTTGTGTAAGGAGTACAACCCCACTGATGAGGTCTGTTTAGTGTGAACATGCACGAGCGTATCGTATCAATTGAGATATGTAAACACCGTTCGATGGGGAAGAAAGTACTGCTGAGAATGAGAAGTTGACATTTAGAATGTTGAAATCATAAAGTTTGTCATAGATTCTAGTATGAAGTCGTCTATCTGTGTCAACATCGAGAAAATAGTCATGATATGAAACTAATCTTCTACTTTCGATAGTATTCCTTGAGGTTCAATGGAACATATGAGACGCAAGCACTTACTCAAATGGTAATTATTGAAGTACAAGACATCATCATTATATCTGACAGAAAATTAAAGAATTTTGCAAAATATTTTTGTTGTCTTTTAGCAGGTTTAGAATGAATTCTCCTTCGTAAGAGTACAAACACAAGTCGACTTGTAGAGTTGCAAAGTCGCCGACAACCTATATGATTGAGAGAAAATCCCATTAAAATATTTAAATTTCTTCCATTTGAAACCCCGCTAAAAACAAAATTGGACTGGGTTCTCCTGACCCAGCTTTTCCCGGTCTAACATCAGAATGCAGTAGTCTCCTTTTTGCGACCCTATATAAAAATGAGCAGAGGTTCCCCCTTACCCAGCCTAACTATGCTGGTCTGTAGGACATTAGAATAATAATCCTGCTTATAATTTTGTTTTGGAAAAAAAATGATATTAACACTCTTTTGTTAGTGTGTTTTCCATTCGTTTGATGTGTTTAAGCTTTTGATTTTGCTATTTGACGAGGGACTTTCCGCTTTGAATTTTCCTTGGAGTTCGATTTTTTTGTTATTTTACTTTTTTTGTCCTTAAATAACTCAAAATCTTCCCTTCTATAACCCCATTTCAAAATCTTTATGGAAGGTATATACATACTAGCATGCAATTAAGGTTATTCATCAATTAATATTTTCATAAAGTGTAAAATATTACAAAACATATTTTGTTGTAGGACAAGAATAAACCACCCCCTTCTAAGTGTCTTTCAAAGAACTCCTTAATGGACCTAAATGCACGATCGAACAAAATTGAACATGTAAGGCTAACATACTGTAGAAGTGCATTTGACAATCAATTTCTTCGAATATAACGGAAACGTTACGGTGCAGAAAGTGAAATCAATAAAGAAATTAAAGAAGAATAGGAAAAACAACTACCATTATAATAATAATTATGATAATAATAATGGATTGATTGTTGTTTGCTTTATGTCCAGTTGCAAATATTTCTTGCTTGTTTAGGACCACAAGAGTAAAGAAGAAGAAGAGGAAGAAGACGAAAAAGAAGAAGAAGTCATTTCAACAGATATTATTTAAATAGGCGTTCGGATAAAAAGTTAAAACAGATTACCCTGAAATTTTTAATCGTATCTTTTTCTGAAATTGTCTTATTTTTATCAATACACCAAATAAAAGTTCATTAAATAAATATTTTAACTAGTGTTAAATTTGCATGTTTAACTCTTTAAACAATTAGTTTGTATCTAATACCAAAAGAATTTGAAACCGTATATTAACATAACATATGCTGGCACCAGTCATTAAAATATTATACAATTTTCCATGAATTTATCATCAATGGTTTTTGGTATATTTACCTGAAGTTGAAATATTATTATGTTTTTGGTAATTGTAGACTTTTTTATTTTTGGCATCTATTTGGAAAGTATTACTTTCACATTCTTTGAACATGATATGTTTTTGTTTTTATTTTTGAAACTTCAATCGATAGTTAAGTTTATAGAGAACGAATTAATAACAATATGAACATAGTAGTAAGTTCTTTGGATTTCTATAAATCTAAAAGGCCAGAACTGTTTAAAGGTAAAATTTCAATTTATTCATTTCTTGATCAAAGTAGGTAGTAAGAAATATCAAATGCTCTATCTAAACATTGTTTTTTCATTCATTTTAAGGCGAATTAAACGTAATTGGGTGGTCTCTTGGATTGTAATAAATTTTATATGCATTTAGTAATTAGAAAAAAAATATTTGTTAAGAATTTATATTTCAGGAGATACAATCGATATACAATGCATGAAAAAGAACTATATCTTGATAGATAAAAAAAAATTCTCAAAATTTCTAAGAATTTTGCCTCACATTTGTCCATCTTGTTTCAGTTGAAAGTACGCTGGTTTGAGGTGAGTTATAGTGAAATATTGATATATTTATTATTACCGTCAGAAATTTGGTATTGAATATTTTTAAATTGATTAATTTGAATGATTAAAATAGAAAAAAGAAAAAAATTATCTGAGAAAAAACAAGTTTTTAACGTTTCCAACGGTAATTAACCACTAACATAATTCAAGACAACCGCAAGGGCTAACTGCGGTATAGACATAGTATCACTTATACCTCTTTAGTCCAGCAGAAGACTCATGTTGATGATAGTCTGTTTGGTAGTTATGAATCTATATTAAAAAAATAACCATATGCGATCAAAATTGCGACATTAAGTCCGATGCACCAGTGTCGGGAGAGTGATATCTGAAATCATAACTCCAATGTCGCCTTTCTGCAATAAATTTTTCGATTGATTGCATCCATTTATCAGGGTGTCGTTCTAGTATCTCTTTTAAAACTTGAGGTTAGTTGTTTCAATTTCACAGCAATAAATAGTACATCTAGACTAAGAGGTCACCATTTGGTTTTCAAACAGACAATTCCTATACAATATGGCAAGCTTTTAATCGGCCCTAGTATAGAAAATTTATCAATGAATTTAACAGAGATAGGCACAGATCTGCCAATGACGCCTATTTCCTTAAAGAACAACAATATAATAAAATGGCAACAATGGATATGTACAAATACTGTTTACAATAGTATTGTATTAAATGAATTAACTATGTTGATTACGTTATTGCATGGCATGTCTTTGAATCTTTCTCTGACTCTCAACAGAAGAACGACTTCTGTGAGAGTAGAAACTAAACCTTTTCATTTCGGGAAGAAAAGCTAATTGCAATGCCCGATATGGTATAAAATCATTTATCTCGCTGTAGAGACGGGCCAGGATCGACTAACACCTATTAAGGAGACGTTCGCATTTTGGCAAGAAGTTATATCAAAAGTTTTGTCACAATAATAGCATGGAGTTGATCTAATTTCAGATGAATTTTCTATTTACTTGTCTTGTTGCCTGTACCGTATGCTCATGTATTACGGGTAAGTATAAGATAAAGTACATTTTTAGTTATGTTATTATCATATCTTGATGTTGATTGAGCATCGAAACCCGAGATGATCGGATAGCAGATCCAATCCTATATAAGCTGATCAAGTAACCTTATAAGTAAGCATTTAAAACATGCTGCAGCCCAGTCATTTGCAACATTTCAAGGTGGTCTTGGTCTATAATGTATGATGTAATTTTCCACAGTCAATCAGGACACTTAACAGTTGTCTCATTTATTTTCTGACGAAACAACTGCCATGATGACGTGCAAATATTTATAAGTTTCAGCTATAATCTGGCCCCTAGTTATCTTTAAACTTATTGCGCCCTCTAACTAACTCTCAATCATGTATTATAATAAGAGAAACAGATATAAATATAAGTGTTACTTTCATTTGACAGTCGGTTCACGCATAGAGAAGAGAAACTTAGTGCAGCTCCGAAATCAGATAAAGCATGTGTTTGGATCTAAAAGAGTTGGAGAACTAAATGGTTATGGATGTTATTGTGGCTGGGGAGGAAGTGGAAGACCGGTAGATGGCGTTGATAGGTAGATTTATCATACTTATATGATAGTTTATCCATTTTCAAATTGATTTTGTTCACTCCAGAAAAGTTCATCAATTTTCATTGGATCTTATGATAATAATAAATTGCTTGTTTACATTTATTGTTTTCAAGACGAAATAATATTTTCTTTTTTTAGATGTTGTCAAGCTCACGATAACTGTTATGGCAGACATTCTAATTGCTCCCCAAAATGGGAATATTACTCGTACTCATTCCAGGGGAATACCATGATATGTAGAGGTAACTTATATGTTTTACAAATAAGACTAGAGAAAATAATATAATAAAATAAAACAAAAAGATCTTAACGTTACGGAAAAGTGTAATAAATGAATTAAATGCTTTTTTCGTAATTGTATAGGGTTGTAAACGCGTTGGTCGTGCTTCGGTCAACGCTTTTACACCCCAAAAAGAAATACAAAAAGAAGCATTCAATTCTTAATCTTAGTGCCTACAAAGGACATTTCAATAAATATGAATCACAAAAAAGACAAAAATAATTTAAAAAAATTTAATTAAAAATGATCAAATGCAAATCCAAGCCTTAAATATTCATTTCGATTAGATATGAATTTAAACAAAAGTCCGGGAGCTTCAAGGGGAATAGGAACTGAGTTGGTTTTTTAAATTTGTCGACTTAAATTTTGTGAACTTTGTTTCATTCAGGGAAGAAACTGTTGGTAAATCTCTTTATTTCGTTTCCTATCTTAAAAAAACTTTATTAAAGGGAAGTAACGGCTATCTTATTCAATAACTTTGTCCGGGTTAGGTAACAACTGTTTCTTATTCGAATATTTTGTTAAAAGGGGATAACAATTTGTTAATGGTTATAATTTGAATTTTACTCGTGTGTAAAGAATTGACGAGGATTGCTATAAATATATAAGTGTGTTTCATATTACTATCATGTTGAACTGCTTAAATTTTCAGAACTATTTTCTTTTTTTTTAGATAAATTTGGATCGTGTGACCGGAATGTCTGTATGTGCGACAGGGATTTTATTCACTGCCTGCGAAGGAATACTTTTAACCGTAGTAATATGGATCGATGTTGAAAATGACGTTCATTTAAAAGTTGTCTAATAAAAATATGATATTCAGTGTTTCAAATTTTATTGTTGATGGCAGATCTCTGATACGGTTTCTGTTTTATTTATTTACAATTTCTATAGATGCAGGACGACTAAAAGCTTAACATATTGTACATACAATCAATACTGTTGACAACTGTAATTTGCCCTGTACATGTGTATTGGTTATTTATGTCGTTCGGTCGCTGTCCCAATGACGTTTATTATATTTCTGTAAAATGTCTGTTTACCTATTGGCTAAAAGCATAGGGAAATAATCGATTGTATATTATTCATCTTCTCCTTTAACAACCATTTCGTACACTAAGCTAGTTAACCTTACACAACGAACAACACACAGTCTATCCGTCAAGGCACAGGCATGACATGTGGTGGGGTTAAACCGCTACCGCCACACCACCCGGATTCACCACCCACCACCCACCAACATAGCCTATCTACACCGTATATCGTGCAAGATAGACGCACAATAGTAAAACTGCACAGAATGTTGCCCTCCAATGACTGTCATTTGTGTCTTTGGGTTGCTGTCTTATTGACGTATACCCCACATATCCTTTTGTTCATATTAAAAAACCAGAATAATGACATTTTGAATTTTTTGTTGCTTTGACACTTACTACTCATACCCCTTTATAATTCATATCGGATGATACATGGTCTCTATTCTTTTGTTTTAATTCGCTGAATTCCGATTGTTTTCACAACTATGTTCGTATATGATGAAGACACTTGCGATTGAGTTATGTTGTCCTTGACATGTCTCTCTTAGTTTTCTTAGTGATGTTAGCTTACTGCCTTATCTTCAACATTTCAATTAAAATACCTTATTTAAGGGGAGTTAAAAATAGTTTCACATTGTATTGCACTTTTTATGTTTCTATGTTATAGATCGAGATGAAATATAAGTTAAAACATAAGTTAACGTGCTGGTTTTGAAGGAAAATGAGGGTAAAATAACCACACTGTTGTTATTCAAAAGCTCTGATAAACAGGGAAATACATTTACATTTTCACAATTTTGTTTCTTGTCAAATCTTGATTGAATTTTCGTGTTTAATGCAATTATTAGGTTGAATTTGTGGACATTTAATGATTAAATGAGTTTTACAACCTTTTTGTATTGTCATATTCTTAACATGTTTTATAAGTATTTTGTAATGCATAAAGGCATTTCCATTTCGTTACCTTGTTTGTATTTTAAGAGACAATTCTATCAACTTTTCCTGACCATGAACTTTCCCAAGCTGTCACCTCATATTAAGTTTGGAAAGTTGGAAAGCTAAATCTCAAAATGTTGTAAGATTGAATCTTCCCATAAAACTCACTAAACCACCTTTTCATAAATCCCCTTGATAGATGCATTTGCTATTTTTCAATTAATTCAATGTAGACATGCATGCATATACATACATCTTCTCAGACATTGAATCTTTACAAAAGTATTTTAAAGTAACTTAAAATCTGGTAATCGACCTCTGAAAACAAATAGTTTAGTGGTTTAGGAAAGTGGAAAACAGTACAGAAATTAAATTTTTGATACTTTAGATATAACAATCTGTGAAAAATAGTTAAACCAACTTTTTCACAATTTCCATCTTTGCTTTGCTTTGGTTTCAATTAACTGCCCACAAAGCTTACAGTGCTTTGATTTAAAGTTATTTGGAGAATTGATTTATGTATTTTTGGTTTAATTTATCCACACTATGTATAGACTCTGTATTTGACGTTTTAGAACTGGCACATTGTATATAAACATGTCTATTATCATGATTATTGAAGACTGCGTGTTGCCCAGTTATGTATTTGGTTATTTTAGTCGCTAGGTTGCTGTCCCATTGACGTATACTACACATGTATTCATGATAAAATCTATTTTCGCATCAAACACTGAGTATTTTGAAACAAACATTTGCTTAATCAAACACTTTACATATATGTTGGACTCCGATCCACGACCAGTTTTAAATCGACGTCCGTTTCTCATATCGTCCTGTATCTGACATCATAATAATTTAAAATTGCAAATCGACGGCCGATTTATGCCCTCTAATCGATATTCTGTTCTGAAAGCGACGTCCAATTCATGCAGACTGATCCCGCATGACTTATCAAACTTATCAAACACAATATAATAATATTTAAAAAAATGTATAAAAAATTATTTTCACTATTTTATCATCAAAATATACAGGAAATGAAATTAATTTCAAAATTTGGTATTTATCTGATCCTTTCTTATGAAAATAACTCTACATAATATTGTTGCTATAGATTGCCGATTTAGTTATTTAGTCCAATGGAACCTCGTTGTATCATGAAGAGGTAGGGTGCATGTCTCCTGTATATGTTTTACTCACGGGGGTAAAGATCGGAATGCATTCGTCACAACTCGGCCGATTCCGTACCTTCATATAACGGATAGAAGGAGAGTAGCGGATTCACCCGAGGATTGCCGATTGGATCGGAATGTTGTTGAAACGTACCATATTTTTAAAATTGAATAGTTCGAAAATATTTAATCATTTTGTTTTCGCTTATAAAACAAAAAAAAAAACCAAAAAAGGTATTTAACGTTTATCACAATTATAAAAAGCCTTTTGAAAACAATGTTGCAAATTTTATATGTCCTTGTTAAATTTAGCATCGAAGCAAATTTTGGAAGGAAGAGGAATCTATTTGTATCCGAAATACAAGATATAGCCTTCATTCCGATAGATTTTTGTTTTATAACCTTTACTCTATTTCATGTGTGTATATTGATTTAGGTTCCAACAATATTATATCTTATTTCAAAACAGGTCATCTAATTATAAAACGATGAAGGTAGCCCATATTAACCATAAAATGTATAAGAGGTACATCGTTTACCAAAAAAAGAAGTAATGCTGTTTATTGTCACTCGAACACACATTAATTCATGTTGGTAAGCGATGTCCTTCGATGCAAAATTTGACAATTACATGTAAAATTATGTCCTCAACATTAACATGTAACGCCGAATAACTTTTTGACTATTCTTGGCCCTACTCCAAATTAGAAATTTGGTATAAAAATTCTTTCAACATAATTATGTATTGAATAACATTTGGATTTTATGGAAATACGTAAAATTGTAAATCAATCTTTTTATATGATATACTCTTTAGTATTCAATTAGCGTATTACTAGTGGAGTAGGTTTTGATACCCTCATGGAGCATCTGAGATCACCCATTGTTTTTGGTGGAGTTCGTGTTGCTCAGTAATTTTCTGTGTAGGGTTTTGTGAACTTGTTTGTCTTTTCGTCGTCTTAATTTGTTGACATGGCGTTGTCAGTTTTACTCGACTTGCCAGTTTTTAATGCCCCTTTGTATCTTTTAACCGGTAAAATTCGTCAAACCCCCTTGTCACAATCTATATAAATTGTTGTTTTGAATTATCTGTAGACGTTTATTTTGTTATTTTATGTCCAGCAGTATACCATTAAATTTTTATTCACTAAAAACCCATGATTGAAATGTTTCTATGACCAACTCCGTGTCTTACACAGCATTTATCCTTTTAGAAAGAATAACGGTATGATGTCATGATGATGACAGATACGACGTCAGAAACCGTAGTTTGACGACGTTTCCTCAAATTTTGTGAACAACGTGAGTAAAAATTCTAATACAATTACGATGTTTTATGTTTTACATTGAGGAAAAATGTTTAACTTGGAAAGGAACTACATATCTATTAAAAATTATGTTAGTAAATATGTTTTACAGGTGTTCAGAAATGATATCGCAGAGTAACTAAAATGATCTTGACTGTTATTTAGCCATTATTCTTGATTTGTTAGCACAAAGTAAAATTTTAACCGGACAACACAGTGAAGACATACTGCTATGTTTTTTAGCGATGGAAAACGTGGACAGAAAGCAATAACATTTCTGATGTCCATATTTTACCAACCAAACCGTGATTTGTAGCTTTGTATTTAGCTTCTTAAGTGCAGATTTCTGCGACTTCTATATATCTAGTCCCGTATAGTATAAAGTGGGCGCGCTCGATTATTGGTGCAGATCTCCTACCGATTTACAAGGGGATATGTACAACACGTTATTTTGAATAGTTAATCTTTTTTCACAACGTACCATTTGTATATGTTTATTATGATATGCAAGTTTTATGCATGTATCAGAATTATTAAATTTGCGCTATTATGATATAAATTTCAAATCATCATACATTTCTATTTTTATCGAAAAAAGCAAAATGGACATTTACAGAGATGAAAATTGGTTAATTATTGTAAAGACCGACATAACGTTGTGTCCTGTCCGAAATTTTGAACTATACTTACAATGGAGTGGCATTAAATCTGATTTAAATGTGTATATATTCGGGAATTTGTCGAATGTGAAACAAAAAAATCATTTTTCGTTCACTAAATAAGCCTGTAAGCTGTACAAGGATGATAGAAATTTTCATTGATGCCTTTTTTCCGTTAGTTCCCGACATTAAATCGTACGGATTACATAGTCTACGATCAGGTGTTGCTACAGCCGAGGCGAGGTTTTGGTGTTTCAGACAGACTTTTTAAACACCATAGACGTTGGAAGTCGGACACTACCAAGAAGATTTAGCCGAACGTATTATCGTTTCTCAGAAATTGGGAAATAACTAACATCTTTTGTTTTAATTTACATTTTGGACTTTAAAAATTTTATATATATAGTAGTAAATAGCTTCCCGTTCTTCGGTATCTATAAGTCTTTTTTACTACGTTTATATTCATATACTTGATAACCCAGTGTCAAACATTTTCAAACGGAATAGCTCATCCTAATTTTTACGGGGATGTTGTTTACCGAGCCCAGAAATTTAGACTTAGCAATCCTTTAAATAAACTGATTCTAAAACTTAACAAATTCA